CTCCTCCGCCTCCTCCTCACTCCCCACCCCTCTCCTCCTCCTCCTCTAGGGACGCACTGAGTTTGCCTTGACGGAGTCGATCTTGAGGAACCGGTGGAGGCCCGGGGGCACTCCGGCGATGAAGACGGTCACGTTATGACTCTCAATCTCCTCCACAAGGACTATGAGCGCCTGAGCGGGTCGCCAAGTCAACGAGACAGGAGGAGGAGGAGGAGGAGGAGGAGGAGGAGGAGGAGAACAGAAACAGGAGCAGGAAGACAGGAGACAGCAGCAAGACGACAGCAGCAGAAACAGAATGAGAAGGAGGGATGAGAGCTGGAGCGGGAGGATAGAATTTCAGGTACATCAAGCGCTGTTGTGTCCACGATGTCCATCTGCTCAAGGTCGAAGACAAGGGCAGTGAAGACTCTCCTTCCGATCGCAGCCTTGAACTGACTGCTCAAGACGTTCTTGAGGGAGGATGCGGCAGAGAAGTTCAGATCCCCCTCAACCCTCACGACCAGGATGTCTCTCCCTTTTAAGTTGGGCGGTATCATCTCGCCTGCCATAGTGTCTCCTCTAGCGTCGATCCCTGGGATGCCGGCGGCCCCAGGGAGGTAGACGAGGATGAAGTTGTCGCTGAGCACAGCAACCTTGGGACGAGTCGACTTGAAGAGGACTTCGGCTCCGCAGAGGGCGATGGAGACATAGATGCCGAGCTCGAGAGCAGCGAAGGCTGTGAGTACGAAGGTGATGAGCAGGAGAGCGAACTCCTTCTTGGATGACTTCCACAGGAACAGAGCTTCTGACGGGTCCACAAGACTGATGGCAGCGACGATGACAATGGCAGCCAGGATGTTCAGGGGCATGAACTGGAAGAGGTTGGTGAGGAAGAGGAGGGTGAGCATGATCACGATCCCGGTGATGAAGTTGCACATGGGACTCTGAGAGCCATAGGAGGCGTTAGTTGCTGATCTGCTGAAGCTTCCTACCACAGGGTAGCAGAACGTCAGCCCCCCCATGATGTTCGCTGCCCCTTGCGCGATCGCCTCCTGGGTAGGCCTGACTGGATACTTGAGGATCGTGGCGAACTTCGTCTCCACCGCGATCGACTCGAGGTAGCCGATGATGACGATCTGGATCGTGATCGATATCAACTTGGGAACTGCTGCAAAGAAATTCGGTGGGAAGCTGAACTTGGGCAGCCCCCCAGGGACTTTCCCAGTAATCTTCACCCCTCGCTCGTTGAGCCGAAGGCCGTAAGTGATGCCCGTGTAGAGGATCACGGCGATGAAAGGCCAAGGCAGCTTCCCGAAGATCCTCATCTTCCTCGTCACCTTAACCTTGGGGAAGAAGAGAACCTTGCCCTGCCCGAGCTTGCGCATGAAGTAGAGGAAGATGATCGCAATCACCCCCATCACGCACGTCGTCCCGTGTGTATTCTCGATATGTGCGAAGAAGTCGTAGATGCCCAGCTGCAGCGTCCCTTTGCGGATCTTGTACCCCATGATGTCCTTGAGCTGTGACATCGCGATGATCAGCCCTCCAGCTGACGTGAAGCCTGAGATAACAGGGTGGGGCACGAAGTTCATCACGAACCCCAGCAGGGGGCCGAACACGACCTGAATCATCCCAGACATCATCGCGATGCACGTTGCGTACTGCCAGTACGCGGGGTTGTACACGGCTCCTTTGCAGTCAGCGTTGCAGGATGGCCACGTGTCAGCAGGCAGGCTGCCATCAGGCAACGGGCATAACTTGTTGCAAGCCGGTACCCCCTCAGCTACCAGGAGCGACACGATGGCAACAGGGCCGAGCCCCATCTGGCGTGAAGTTCCAGTGCAGCAGTAGATGAGAAGAGGAGCGAATCCGCTGTAGAGACCGACCACGTACGGCAAACCAGCAACATCGGCATACCCCATGCCTTGAGGGATCAGCATACACCCTACAACCAGACCAGCCTGCAAGTCGCTTATGAACATGTTCAACGTGTACTTGGGCAGCCATTCAAGGATAGGAAAGCGATCAAGACAGAATTGCCACATGACAGACCATGTCAGTGAAGCCCATAACCTCTGCACGAAACTTTGGAATTGTTGAAAGCTGCTTTTGATCTCGGACATGGCATCGAGATCAGAGCTGTCATCATCTTCAGGGCTTGAAGTGGCTCGTTGAGAGAACGAGACGTGATTGGTTGACTTGACGCCATTGCCATTCCCTGGTTCTCCTTCTTGATGTCTCTTGAGCTTCCCATTGACGTGTACTGAGACATGCTCGGGACTTGTTGAGTTGTGGGGAATCGGCTTATTTCATCGAACGATAAATTCTCTGAGAGGACCTCTGATGATGTTCGATTGTCAGCATGGTTTTGAGTGCTTAGCTCAACATCGGAAGGCTCCTTGTCACTCATCTTACCCTGAGGCTCCTCACATCCAGTGATGGATCAGGAGCGGAACAAAAAAAGTTCTCTGCTCGTCTTGCAGCCCTGCCTGCCTGCAGCGAAACTCCTTCTACCTCCAAGACTGTTCGCCGTCTTTTTCCTGTAATTCTGCATGCACTCTCCCTCTCCCTCTCCTCCTCTCTTCTTTGCTTCAGCTTTTGTCCTCCATTTCCCTACTGGCCGCACTCCTACGCATTTACTGCAGGTGACCTCCACCCTACCCTTTATCACAGGATTTATCACCCCAGGTGTTGTTTAACCCCCACCCAGTCAAATCACCCCCGAGGCATACCCCCACCCTCTATTTAATCCAATTTTTCTCCACTACCCCTACTATTAGGCACCCTACCCCGTTTCAAAGACAGAGTGTCCTCCCCCAATACATTCCACCAATATTTCACTATTCACCCGATAGACCCCTACACCCTCCCTGATGGGCTATTGCCCAAGTTTCCCCACCATGTCCCACACTACCCCACCAATGAATGCATCGGTGTACCCCACCCTCTCAAGTACTACCGTACCGTACAGAAATGCTGCGCTTGTCTCGAGTAAAAATGTATCCCTCACCCCCACCCCAACCGCTCGATTCTACATTGACCCCACCGCTCCAGTAAAGATATTGATCACTACCCCTCCCCACATTGCTAGCCAATCATGGACCCACTGTCGACGTCACTACCTCCACCCCCTGGTCCCTCTTCCCCCACCCCATATTCCTCGTTCCCCAACCCCTCACACTCCTCAATGTAATACTACCCCCACCCCCTTTCATCCTTTGCGACTAGTCATTATGCCACCTCACCCCCCTCTTGCCCACCTTCAGCAACCCCCACCCTACTCCCCTTTACTCTACTTTTCTGCGGAGTTCGGTCAGTGATGGGCCCACTGGCCGGGCCGCGCCCGGGGCCGGGCCTCACTCGGACGGCCGCTCGTGACCGTGAGTCACGAGTGCGGCCCAGTGACACGCACACTACTACCCACTTTTGAGTAAAAGCCCCCACCTTTGCTGAATTGAATTCCTTCAGGGTCAAGTCTTTACTCAAAGTTAAGTTAAAAATCAGTACGAGGACAAAAGCCTCCTCGACTCTCCTGATTGTCCTCGTACTGATTTTTAACTTAACTTTGAGTAAAGAATTCCGAGAGAGAGAGAATTCCCAGCAGCGGGCCATGGCTGCCGATGACTCGCCAGGCCCGCCAGGGCCCGGGCCTTGATGAACTTTGATGATTCGGACTCCGGGAGCCTGGGCAAATTGAGCTCCGACTCGATGCGGCGGCTCGCCGTCCGAGCTGAAGGCCCGGACTCCCGGAATGTGTTTGCCATACTATGATAAAGAAATCTTCAACTCTGACGCGTGACGAATATGACACACACGATCAGCCTGAATGATTCGACCGTATCGGACAGGAGACGAGCTGTCCGACTTTTGCCCTCCGAGTCATGTTCAACTCTTCAGCCTCACCTTGTTTCTTCACCGTACGGTACCCACAGCGCTATGGAGCGCAAGAAGAAGCTGAATCAGCTCCGAATCAGGTGGCATCCCGACAGGCCTGGCTACGAAAGTGGGCGCTACTTTCATCCACGAGGCCGCCGGGCGAACGATACTCATTGTGACGAGTTTACAGCTCTAACTGCTCCTACCCCTCCCTCCGAGGCTCTGCTCGCTTATCTGATTAAGCACTAGCAGCGTCCCTCAGTCGACTAAGATCGTCCCACGTACCGGTGAACGCCCCACCGCAGCATTGACTGAATCGAAACTCTGTTACCCCAACTGCCTCCTCACCACTCTCCTTCTTAGATAAGTTTGAAAACAGCGAGCTCCGACTCGTGGGACGTGCCTCTGAGTCAAGCATACACGTGTTTGTTCTTCCACGTCAACTTTCCAGTAACTGCCCCTCCATGCGGTCAGGTTGTTCTCAATTCGCAGCCATCCCTGACCTCATCCCTCTCGAGGTCGTCGGGTTGGCAACTTGGCTGCCCTATTGACCTTTCACCTTGATTGTTGTACCGCTTTTATGGCATGATTACACGTCTGCCAGCACTGCAACTCGGGGTACCACTCATGATTCGCTGGATTTTGAATAGATATGATGCTCCAGGAATCTTTACATGCCAGAAGCTTGCAACTGTCCTTGCATGCTGTTAAACACGCGCAGCTTCCCCTTCTGATCGAGAGTTCATGGTCGGATTCGTGCACGTGCAAAACTTGTCTGAAGCGACCAAACTGTCTACATTGAAATCAATGAGAGCTTGCAAAGACAGTCAGGGAAGGAGATGGAAATATGACTGAAAACAACAAGCTGCCTGTTAGATAATTTACTGAACGCACTTGTCACAACACGTAATTAAAATCTTTGCAGGCCATTATGAGGCGCAGTGTGATACCGTCGTAAAGCTCGTACCTTGCCAGTGCCGTGAGGCGAACTTTCTGACAAGATCTTCATAGCAGCAGACGCTCGAGGGTTCACAACCGCCATGGCCCCGAGGCGAACCCCAGGGCCAACTCGCTGCTATCGTCTTCCCCGCTCCTGAGAGCCGACAGTTCAAGTTGCTCTGAGCGAGCAGCAACGAGAACGAGCGGGGGAGATTAGCGATAGCAGCGACTTTAACCTCAGCAACCCGATTTCTTCGGGTCAAGGCCACTGCGCTTGGTGCGGCGCAGGCTGACCATTTCTTCGGCACAGGTGGGGTGAATGCCGACCACGAGGTTCCACTCGTCTAAGGAAAGTCCCGCAACGAAGGCGGACGCGAAGCCCTGCGTCACTTCTCCTGCGTTGGGCCCGAGGTAGTGGAAGCCAATGACACGCTGCTTGTCAAGGTAGTTGACGATGAGCTTGGCGTAGCACCTCGACCTCCTATGCGGGACCGTGTACTCGAGAGGAGTGAACTCCGAGTGATAGACTTCGATGTTGTCCTCCCCGAAGGTCGCGATGGCACGCTCCTCGGAGAAGCCGATGCTTCCATACTCCAACGGCGTGAAGACAGTCGTTGGCACATGGTCCAAGTTGACGAGGAGCTTGCTGTTGCCCCAGATGCGCTTGGCGAGCATGAGCCCTTGCTTGATAGCCACGGGAGTGAGCTCAGGAACCTTGTGAGCGACGTCACCAAGAGCGTAGATGTGAGGGGCAGTCGTCCGCTCATTCCATGTCCAGATCTTCTTGTCCTCAGCCACCTTCACTCCGGCAGCTTCAAGGTTGAGCTCCTTGGTCAAGGGCTCGCGGCCGATAGCAAACATGACGGTGTCGAACGCCTCCTGGAACTTCTCCTTGGAATTGACATTCTCGTAGGTCACGAGACGCTTGCCGTCGGGGAGCAGCTCGATCCCTAGGGGGATGCAGCTTTCGATAAAGTTTGTTCCTGTGTTGATCATGTCGTCCTTGATGCGCTCAGCACAGTCCCTGTCGAATCCTCGGAGAACGACGGAGCGGACCTGTCAGGGTACAAGAGTCACAGGAGGAAGAGAAGGGAGAGGAGCAGTACCATGACTTTGGTCTCGTAACCCAATCCAGTTAAGAATCCAGCACACTCGAGCGCGATGTAGCTAGCGCCCACTACAAGGGTCTTGCCAGGAGGGTTCTGCAAAGAGAAGATGTCGTCGGAGGTGATGCTGTACTCCTTGGCACCGGGGATCTTGGGGTACTGGGGTCGGCCACCTACGGCAATGATAATCCTCCTGGCAGTGATTTCTGTCTTGCGATCGCCGACGACGTCGCAGGTCGGGCAGGTAGCGTCACAGATGATAGTGTGGGGGTCCTTGAAACTGCCCCTGGCATTGATATACTGGACCTTAGCGCTCCTCAGGCCGGTAATGTATCCATTGTTAAGCTCATGGATGTGATTCTAACAGAACCGCGTTAGCAGGGGGAAAACATCGAGCTTCACGCTTACCTGAATATTTTCTCTCAGCCTTTCCCAGACATGCTTGTGCCCCTTCCCCTCCAGCGGAATGCCAGGGCGGCTGCTATCTTCCCATCCATAGTGTCCAGCCTCTTCAATGTGATGCCCAAAGATCGCGGCAGTGTGATAAAGTTTCTTTGGGATACATCCAACGTTAACACAGGTTCCTCCGAGCCCCCACCTTGTGCCGTAGAAAGTAGGGTACACAAAATCAAGCACGGCCACTTTCGCTCCGAGGCGAGCCGCCTCCTTGGAGGCAGAGAGACCACCGGAACCTCCTCCGATGACAACAAGGTCGTACATGTACGGATGCGACGGCTCCATCACGTTGTCGTAGAGCTGCAGGGCGAAGAAGGGTGCTCCTATGCCACGGTGCTCAGCAAACATGGGGCGAGCAGGGTTCTCCTCCTTGAGCGCAATCGTGCGATAGTCATTCCTCAGTTCCCAGCGATCCCTCATCTTGAAGAAAGTACCGTAGAACCAGCACCCGACGCAGAAGCCGCCAATGCTCTCCAGCGCTGAGAAGACGATGAGAGCAATCATCGGGCCTCTCTGGATAGGGCTGTTTACGATGAAGTGCAGGATGAACAGGACGGTGTTGAGAATGATACCCAGGAAGAAGCTGAATCGTTTTGCCCCCGATGGAACCATGTCGGGGGGCAAGTCCGCAAGCTTCAGAAAGAAGTTGGCAATGATCGCGAATGGAGACAACAGCGACATTCCAAAGACGGTCCGGATGAAGAAGTCGTACCAAACAACGAGCTGCACGTACCAGACGTAGGCAGTCTTATGAGGCCCGTTCATATCCCTCGCGCAGAGCTCGCAATATTGTTCATCATTCTTGCACGTCTCACAGAAGTAAGATCCGAAGAAGAAGATAAACATGGCGCAGCAGAAGACCACGAATGAGCATCCTCGTACAAGGTAGTTGTCAATCGGGTTGTCAAACTTCCACCACGGGGTCGTGAAGACAGGAAGCCATCCTCTCAGGACGGGCGGCACAGGATCTGGGAAGATGAAGTTGGGTTCAACCAGCGGCTCCTGCTTCGGGTCCTTGTAATACGACCGCCCAACAAAGGTAGCCGTGCGCGGCTGTGGCTTGTTCCTCCTGCGATCCATCATGTTGCCTGCCGAAATTCCCGGGGGCTTTGTCATCACTGCATGCACGGGCTCTCCTGGAAGTTTCTCAGGGTCTGATCCAGTACGTCGTATTCCAGATCCGGCCATGCCTGGATAGCCCCCGGGCATGGAAGTCAGCGTTGCCGGCTGCATGCCACCTTGAAAGGCTCCTGCAGGCAGAGGCTCCGGGTCCTGATAAGCCCCAACCAACTCTTCTGGGTCATGCCCCGGCTTAGATGAGCCGGGAGGCATCATGGGTGGAGCCCCCGGTGCTGACACAAGCACCGCGTGTGGTGCCATCGATTGTGGGGTTGGTCCTCCCGGCATCGGTTGTAGCTGTACCATCTGCGGCTGAAACATGGGATATACCTGCTGCATGGTAAGCGGCTGCTGGTTCTGCTGGTTCTGCTGGTTCTGCGGAACAGGCTGCATTGGGATCATGGGCTGCATCGGTGGTGGTTGCATCGAGGCCTTAGCGAACGACGACCGGGATGAAGCGAGATCAAAACTTGTCTATATTGGCAGATGTGAAAGAGGAGTTGAGTGATATGCAGGACTTGCTATGAGCTCCAACTCACTTTGCTCTGCATGTCCCCGCGCCGTCGCACGGAATAAGGACTCCGGATAGTCGGGTCCATGTGGTTGGGGTGGTCGGGAATGCCACAACATGGTGGGTGGTGAACGAATAGCCAGAGAGGAACTCCCAAATCAACAAGAACGAGGATTCCGAAATTTTGATATAGTCTCCATTAGATAATTCGTAGACTTGGTGGGGCAAAAGACAAGATGCACGTCGGGCGAATTCCTGGTGGAATGTTGAGGGTAGGGTGGTATTTGTCTTTCCGAGCAGGGGTCATTCTGCAACGTCCCACTGACCACATTTGTACTGTGTCACGTATTACCTGGTACAAACACGGATTTTTAAAAGTAAAGGTCTGTAAAATGCACTTGTTGGAGGCTACGATGATCCCTCGGAGACTTCCGGGGGTAGTTCAATAGGATCTATTGGGTGGTAGGGTCATCGACCACCCCACCATTAGTCGAGGTCCAGATTCTGTAACGCCTTCTGACTTTTTAAAATGCAGACAACCCACCCAGTCAGAATCAATCCAAGACATATGAAGTAGAGGGGTATAGCAAGTGTCAGCAGTCGGATGTACGGAGTGTTTTTAATTTGTACCTGAGCAAGAGAAGGGGGGCCGCAATTTGTTTTTGGGGCGGGCCCGGGAGTCGGGCCGGCAGCCGACAACCCCGGGTGTGGTAAGAGGTAAACTAAGACCTCCTCCTGCTGTGGCACGTGCGGTAGGAGCGGGGATCGGCCGATAAACGCACGAGGCCCTGTAGGAGAGCGTCGCAAAGGCTTGTTCGACTCTAATGGCGGAGTGAGGATGATTGCGATAAGGTGAGGTTATCTGGATGCCTTCTTCTTCCCGCACCTCTCAAAACTCTTCTTGTCTGTGATCTCAAAAAATTGCTCTAGAATTAATATGATTGCGCTCTGATTACTCGAAATTACTACGGTTACTGAGACAAGCTTCCATTCTTGATGATCTTCCTGCACCATGCTCTCAAGAAATATCCTGACATTTTTGCATTGCAGGTGATGCAAACCGTGAAGTTTATGTATATATCGAACGTACTTGTAAAGCATTTGTAAACTTTGAATAGACAGATCCATATTGGTGTGATGGTTTCAATGTTTTCCCCTCTGACATCATTATTCACACATGCTTCAAATTGCAGAGCTTCTCCAATTCCTTTGCTCATTTATTTGAAATGATTCACTGGTGCTCCTTGAATATCTGAAAATCAAAACTCTTGAGACAGCAGAAATGCACATTTTAATCGCGAAATCCAGGGGCTTGCCTCACGACAGTGGGCAACCTGCTCTACAGTGACTGTAATTGTAAGAGACATCTTGTAACAGTTCATGAAAATTTTCTTCTCGCCCATCTCGTACTGTTTTCTTTTCTTTGAATTCATGCACCCTCAAAAAACTATACTTGCTCGCATTAGCTCTGGGCTTGCTCTTGACGCGAGTGCATCTCACATGAAATTCATACCTCTCAGCGCAAATCATTCTGAATAATTTCCATGTGTTGAGAATATCCTGTAGGACTGCCGGCAGTGGGTATGGCGGCCTGTCGTCTTTCTTCCTACGAAGTGTAACTCTAGAGAATAAGACCCCTCACCAGACAACATGTGATAAGATCTGATTTTATTATGATTCCAAGTATATCTACAGTACTGCTATATACAGAGAGAGCGCACGCGGGGTGGGTGGGAGGGCAGAGGAGTCCTCGACACCACCATGGCTTAGAAAAAACCGCCTCTGGATAGCACATCCGCTCATGCCGGTGTTTTATGCCGCGTTATAGTGACAGATCCTTCCCGCTGACGCCTGTGATGGTTGCATGCCGCAGAATCAGGTCCACAGCCGCTGCCAAGCTCTGCAGCTGCTTGTGTCGGCTTGGACATCCATACTTACTGGAGCGCCGTGATTGGTCCTCAATACAAGGCTCTCCTTGGACGGGGCGCTTAGGGGAAGCAGAGGCTGGCTCACAATGGGTCTTGCTTTCTACCATTGTAGGACTTGGACAGAAATTCGGGCCAGAGAAGAGGATGGAGGACAGAGAGCAGGAGAAGGACAGGGAGCAGCACAATATGACACGAAGCTCGACTGTATATGACACGAAGCTCGACTGTATATGACGCGAAGCTCAGCACAATATGACACGAAGCTCGACTGTATATGACACGAAGCTCGACTGTATATGACGCGAAGCTCGACTGTATATGACACGAAGCTCGACTGTATATGACACGAAGCTCGACTGTATATGACACAAAGCTCGACTGTATATGACACAAAGCTCAACTGTATCAGTGGGAGGCAGAGAGGAGAGCTGGGGGATGCGAGGACTGATGTGGACTGCGGGTGGCTTTTATGCCGAGATTACACGGGCTGGGCAGTGTGATGCTGACAGTCAGCAGGGACAAAGCTTTACAGGATTAGGGATGTTTACCACAGCCATAGATAATTTTTTGTCAGCGGTACATGTGATCTGATGTGAAGAGATCATAGATAAAACCTCATTGCCGGTCGATCCTGTAAAGCTTTGTCCCTGCTGACTGTCAGCAGGGACAGCCTTCCATAAAAGCGCTACCCGGTGACCGTTCCTCCTTCGCTGCTCAGTCCACATCAGTCCTCGCATCCCCCAGCTCTCCTCTCTGCCTCCCACTGATACAGTTGAGCTTCGCGTCATATACAGTCGAGCTTCGTGTCATATACAGTCGAGCTTCGTGTCATATTGTGCTGCTCCCTGTCCTTCTCCTGCTCTCTGTCCTCCATCCTCTTCTCTGGCCCGAATTTCTGTCCAAGTCCTACAATGGTAGAAAGCAAGACCCATTGTGAGCCAGCCTCTGCTTCCCCTAAGCGCCCCGTCCAAGGAGAGCCTTGTATTGAGGACCAATCACGGCGCTCCAGTAAGTATGGATGTCCAAGCCGACACAAGCAGCTGCAGAGCTTGGCAGCGGCTGTGGACCTGATTCTGCGGCATGCAACCATCACAGGCGTCAGCGGGAAGGATCTGTCACTATAACGCGGCATAAAACACCGGCATGAGCGGATGTGCTATCCAGAGGCGGTTTTTTCTAAGCCATGGTGATGTCGAGACTTCATATCATCCCCTGTTCCTTCCCAGCCCCCTTCCCCTTTGTACCATGATAGCAGGACTAGTGTAGATATACTTGGAATCATAACTTGATAAAATCGAATCTTTTTTAGTAAGACAACCAGTTGGTCAGGTTGACCGTGAACTTCCATCGAGGAGGCGCTGTACCGTTGAGTAAACCCCGTAGTACCGTGGGCCGTGCTAGTACCGGGTCAGCCCGGGCGGGCCCGGCGGGCGGCTCCGACCGACCGTCAGGCTCCGCGCGAGCCGGACTCCCCGGAGGCTCACAGAGTAAGTCGGTCCCGGCGAACACCGTGACTCCAGTCGGTTGGCCGGGCGGCCGCGGCCAGTGGCAGTTACGGCACGGACCCGGTCCGTGCCGGGCCGGCGGGCCGGCCCGGGTTGCGGCACTGCACTTACCGTACTACGGTACTTCAGAGCCTGTCCGAGCCTCGGAGGCCGCGCCGCGAGTCGGAGGCGTGACTCAACTTGTTAACTGAGTTACTTCCCGTGTGACAATGATGAACTTGAAACTTGAAACGGCGTACTAGGCTGCGGCACCGTGACAGTGAAATCCGATTGTGCCCGCCACGGATGCGGCAGTGCGCCTCAGTCACTGGGACCGGGCCCCACCGCCGGGCGGCCCCGGCGCCGCAAATTCTGCCGCATCTGGGGGCGGGCCTGGGTCACCGCACGGTCCGGTCACTCAGGTGAACGGCGGTGCCGCACTGCGGCAGTCACTGAGTGCGGCCGCAGGCCGCCGGGGCTCGCGCCGCCGGGATCGGACGGCGGGTGGCGGGCCCAGTGCCCCGTGTCACTTGATTGAAATACGATTCTCTATCCTTTTACTTAACTCTGTCTGGCTGTCAGAAAAATGACCTCTTCAAAAGCCTTCGTTTCGTTTTTGTCCATTGACTCAATCAATTTTATTCGTCTGTAGTAATGATCTTTCCTCCAAGCACCCTACTTTGAAGTGACCAATAGACCCCTAGGACCGATCCGCCTGCATGCTAAATCACCCCTCTGTTCATCTGGAGAATTACCGGTACAGTTTTGACGCTTACTTAAGATATCAAAAATACATCGTTTGGAATCTCCGCAATGAAAGGACAAAAGAACGGAGCGGTTGGATGATATGATGCGTCAGCTTTTTTAACTCCTTCCGGCTCTTCGCCATCTCCCCTTTCCGATCCGCGTACTTTTATCTGTTTGCTCCCCATTTCCACTGAACCGCTCCGTGCTCCACTCCTTCTCGTTCCGTCCTCTCTGTCTATCTCTTCCTTTCCCCATCGTTAGGACTTTATCTCATCTTGATCGCCAACTTTTGCCATCGTTTTCATTCTGAAGACTCTCTGTTCAATTTTTCGTTGATCCTCGCAGCTGTGCAAAATCATTGTGTCACGCACATTTCTATTTCAAGCTATTGCCTGGATTGGAATCGCAATTCACACTTTTCTTTATTACAACGAATTCATTGTTTTCATTTTGATAACTTGTTACAATGCCGCAATTGAATATGGAAACTGCGACGAATTTTTGTGGCAATAACGATGAGTTTTATGACTTAGTTCAGTACAACGCTGCTAGTGCTCCAGACTTTGCTGGAAAGGAAATTCTGTCTGGTTTTGAAGACGAGGACAGCGATGAACTCTTCAGAAGTTTTCGATATGGTTGCCCTTGCCGTCGAAAGCAGTTGGAATGCTTGCAAAGAGCAATTATGCTCATCACTAGCAAGGCGAGGATGTATGGAGTAAGCGGCAAGGTGATTCAGCTGTAAATGAGTTTTAGAGAGACAATGCTATGGCCCAATTGATGTTTCAGTTTGTTTTGTGTTTAGAGTGAATGAAAATGAACGTTCAAACACGTCGGTCTGTAGTCTTGGTCCCACCACTGTATGCAGCATGCCTGAAGCCTCGACGACAACTTCAGCAACTTCTGATTCAATAAGTTTCCTATCATCATAATCCTCAGTTGAACGCCTGTCCTGCGACACGAGCGCTTCGATTCAACAGGGATTGAGTGATCTGATCTGCTTGCAGACATCACCTGGAGCTCGAGTGTACGATACGACCCGATACTTGACAGGAGGCATGCCGATCCTCTGGCACAGCACATGAGCTTGCTCAGACTAGCACAAGGGAGCGGAAGCAGCGGCGGTGCCATCCCAGTGAGACACGAAGTTCGCCCCAGGTCGCTATCGAGCAATACACCATCGAAACTTTCGAACACACCAAAGTACTGGGCAGGTTGTGATTATCATGTATCAGGCGGGGAGGTGAAGGTATGATAACACTGGCACGTTGTCCTGAGATCCGAACGATCTCCCTTCCTCTTGCCCCCACTCCTCGCCCGCCCGCCCATCCCGTATGCTCGCCAGGGATTGTTCGCAGTAGCCTACTAGTAGGCAGCAATTTTCCAAATCGCACCCGGCGGGCAGGGAAAAACTTTTTGTGGGGAAAATAGTGAGAGGAGGGGAGGCGCGAGGGAGGGGGCAACAGCATGGGGACTATCCCGCAGTGCGGATGGTGATCTGAACGAGGGGAGGAGCGGATGAGGGAAAGAAGTTGACGAGCAGAGGAAGCGAATGAGGAGTGGGAGGTAATGAGCAAGTCATTCATGGGAAGGGGATCAGGGATCCTGGCAGTCGGATTGTTCTGCCACCTGATGCATATCACGAGGACGGAGGAGAGGGAAGCGAGAGCGCTCGTGAAGGCTGTGCACGCCATGAAGATGGTGTGGTGGAAACTCTCGGAGTGTGGACAGGTGGAAGGAGCATGCGAGGATGCCATGGCGCAGTTGCCCAGTGGCCTCGAGCGATGGGCAATGCTTCATGCTCTTGGAGAGGAGCATGAGAGGATGTCATGGAGGGAGGGAGCTTGGAGCTCCTATCATGGCCGCAAGGCATTCTGCTACTACCTTGAGTCAGCGCAAAGCCCAGCGCATGCTGGCATGAGCGACGAATCGTTCCTCAGGATCTTCGGAAGGGCGTTGAGGGTGGCTGGGAGCAGCAGGAACATGGCGATGGCTGGCGATGTTGCTGGAGAGGGAGGAGGCGCACTATCCCGTGGAGGAGGAGAGAGCGCTGAGACGCTTCAAGGCAAGCAGTGCAACGCCACTCTCGTTGAGCATGAGCGGTGGCGAGAAAGGAGGGAGGCGGTTCGGAGGTTTGCCCTCAACTCAGTGTTCCACCCGTGGCATTGGAGGAAGCACCTGCCCAACCATGGCGCTCAGTCGCGAGCTGAGGGACCTGAGGGAGGGAGTGAAGAGCTGTACCGGCACGCACAGGTGCAGGATGTCCTTGTGCGGGTGATGGAGAAATTCTGGGTAGAGTTCTCCCCTTGGGAGGCGGGGAGATACGTGCTTGCCGGTGAGGGAGAGGACCTGCTGACGGTCTTCAGCGCTGTCGAGGCATGGAGAGGGAGGAGGGACCGCGCGCATCGAGGCGTCGACGGTCGATGGTGGGACAGACTGCTGAGGGGCTGTGCGGTCGACGGGCCCAGCAGCCCTTGTCCAGAAGGGCAGTATGAGATGGTGGAGAAGGAACTCGACGGGATGAAAGTGTTGGCAAACGCCAGGCATCTCCAGCTGAACGCTCATATGAACCCTTACAAGGACCTGAGCTCCACAGGGGCTCCACAGGACACGCTCCCAATCTGGCTGAGGGCCTGCAGGAGGACCTTCCCGCTGTCTCTGGTGCTGCAGCGGCTGCGCAGCGTCTGGAGGATCAGGACCGCGGTGTTGATCGTGACGGTGGACAGGGACATGGTGGAGGGAGTGCTGCGGGAACTTTCAGCAGTGGACTTCATGCATGTCCGGGTGTACTTCCATCCCTTCACTGAGACCAGGGCCTCCCTTGGCTTCCATGGTTGGGACACGGGGGTCCACCGGCTCAACGCTCACTATGTCTTCGGGCTCCGCCTCTCCCTCGTCTCCTGCCCATTCGACTACGTCATCACCCTCGAAGACGACCTCCTCCCCTCCCCTGACTTCCTTGTTTATCACCAGGACATGCGGAAGGTACTTGATCCTCCTCCTCCTCCTCCTCCTCCTCCTCCGCCCCCCCGGCCCTGTTCCACTCCTTTCCTCCCTCCATCCTCCCCACACCCCCTCCCCTCGTGCCTTCTCATTCTCCCATCCTCCCCCAATCCTCCTCCCTGCCATCTCCCTCCTTCCTTCTTCCTCCTCCTTGAGACTGGACTGAAGGGGCTACAGGTTGCAACCTCGGATCCAAACATTCTCTCCATCCTTGCATATCCGAATGGGCCTGTGCATGACTGCAGCTACATCAAAGACAAGCTGCTCAATCGCAGTGTCTGCCAAGCTGGATCGGCTGACATGCTCTACAACGATCGCTTCTTTGCTGGTTGGGGGGCCGGGCTGTCGCGCCTAAGCTTCCTCCGCTTCCTTCCTGTCTGGAACTTCAGCGGGATATACGACGGTATCATGAACGGACTCATTGACCACGAGCTGCACTGCCTGGCCCCCTGCCGGCCGCGGGTTAGGCTGCATGCAAACGTCGGGCTGCACGGAGAGAGCGAAGCGAGGTGGGACGATGTGTTCAAGGTCGATGAGGAGACGAGGCCTGAGATGTTGGCTGACACATACAAGATCCTCAACCACTACAAGGGACTGGAGTATTCTTTCAAGGGCCGGAGCTCCTCTGGGATTTACGGGAGAAGGGTGCGGGGCGATCGGAGGGGAACGGCAGTCGCCCGCCATGCAGAGCAGGTGGAGGTATGGGAGCTGCTGCAGAGGAGGTCAGCAGCCAGACGAATCTTGCTGGACAACTTGTGCAACGGATCCCACCTCCGATCACTGTTCGCCGCAGCCATCCTAGGAAGCACCTCCCCCTCCACAGAGCCTCCGCCGTTCGTAGTCTGGAGCTCCGACTTCCACGTTGGTCCCATCGCGGACCTCAAGGACATCTGGCAGGACTTGAGGGTGCGAGGCAGGCGGGTAACGGTCATCGACAAGAGCCTGTCCGGCTCCTGCTCCTCCCAAGGCACCTGCGCCCAGGGTCTCCGAGTCGTCAACGGCAGCAACGGGCAGGACCTTGGGCCCTCCCCCTCCTCCCTCATCCAGCAGTTTGTGTCGGAGTATTCTGACGACCCGCTCATGGACAAGGTGGATGCCTTCGTCTGCAACCACCCGCCGGGTATGTGCGAGCTGTTCCAGCCGCTGAACAAGTCCGTCATAGTGCATGCGAGCACGCGGTACGAGATGGGCCGTTGCTTCTCCGATGCCAGGCCACAAGGCTGCTCCGACGACCCGGCGAGGTGGAAGGAGTGGAACCAGAAAGTCTCGCAGCTCATGAGCAGCAGGAAAGACTTTGTCTCTGCGAACAACAGGTACGATGCTAGGTACATGCAGTTCTTCCTCGGGAGGACGGTGGAGACTATCCCGTCCCTCTGCGACAAGCGGCTCAGCTGGTTCCCCAGGAGGAGCGAGATTTTGCTCTCCATGCCACAGGCGGTAGAGCAGGCGCTGACTCCTCCTCTCCTGCAAGCCCTTCAACGCAGAGGCCTCGACAAAACCCTCAAGTTCGTCCACATCCGACGCCTGTACCGGAGGTACGAGCACGCCGACTTGGCCCAGCACCCGGCGATCGTATGGGTCCCCTATCAGGTCTCCGTGATGTCGTTCTTCGAGCAGTACAGGATGAACATCCCTATCCTCGTCCCCTCCCTCCAGCTGATGGCCGACTGGATCGTACTCTACGGCATGATGCCGCAGCGAACATGGGCTGGAGTCTTCGGACAGTGCCCGGTGGGCAGCAGCATACCTCCCCACCCCTCCGAGAGCAGTGTCCCGGACCCCAATGACGACAGCAACATGACGGCTGTCAAATTCTGGCTTCAGTTTGCGGACTTCTACTCGTTCCCTCATGTTCTGCAGTGGAGCTCCTTCGACGAGCTTGTGGACTTGGCGTCTGACAGCGACAGGCTCTTCAGAGCGAGCCAAGGGGCTAGGGAGTTCAACCTCGATCAGGGGAGGGAGGTGCGGGGCAAGTGGAAGAGCGTGTTTGAATCTATTCTCACAAGGTAGGAGGAAGTCGGAATGCGAACTTACTGTCTGTTGCTGTATGGAAGTGAAGGACGAGAGAGTGAAGGAGCCCAGGGAAAGATGGGCTTGCTGCTCAGTCCTCCGATGCTTAAGTCGCTCCTGCTGAAAACTTGATTCTTCCCGACGATTGTTTCAGTGCAGAGCTGCTCGATGTTACGGACTCTGCTTTCTCCAGACGTAGGCAATGGCTGGGTTGGTCGCGCTGTCAGGGTTCGGGCCCATGTAGGTCTCCTCGAGAACGAAGTTGTCGTCCTGCCAAAATCGTATCACAACCTCTCCTCCTCCTAAAACATCCATGTCATCTCCATTATCACCATCACCATCGTCGATCATCATCATCATCTCCATCATCATCATCATCATCATCATCATCATCATCATCATAATCATCTCTATCATCATCATCATCATCATCATCATCGCCATCATAGCATCATCGTCATTATAACGCAGGCAACAGCATAATTGTGGCATCCACCTCGCTCAGCTTCTTGTTGACCGTAATGATCCTGGCGTCGGGTTTCGTATGCGCAGCAAGAGCGTTCGACAGCTTCTTGATCGTCACCTCCCAACAGCAGTCAACCCACCGGTCAGCTGCCCTCCCTCCTCCCTCCTCCTCCTCCTCCCGCCTCCCTCCTTCTCCTCCCTCCTCCTCTCACTCCGTCGGTGGTGGCGAAACAGGTGGCATACACGAAGATCAGGTCCGAGTCCTTGCACAGTTCCATGCTCGTGTACATATCCCCTTCGTGCAGAACGCACTCTGAGCTCGGCATCCCCCCTCCTTCAAGCACAAGGATCGCTCCTCTGCCAATCTCCAGCACGTCCTTCATGATCTCTATCCCTTCGCACTTCTTGAAGAACTAAATAATCGTCAGCTCGCAGCAGGCGATCAGTCACTATTGGCCCACCCCGTCTTGGCAGCTGCGAGAACAAGCTGCCCTCGCCCACACCCAACGTCAAAGAAGTTCCCGTCGGTCTTGACCCTCGTCCGCATCTTCCGCAGGAGAGCGACGAAGAAAGCAAGGTCCATCTGGGGGAATTCAACAATCAGCATGAAGCCCAAGGCTTTAAGGAGCGAAGAAAGGTTGGAGGAGAGAGGACAGGGGAGTGAGGACATAGGGGAGATGCAAGATGGCAGAAGCCAGAGGACAGACTAAGTCACCTCCCCATACGTCAACTCCCTCTCCTTCCCCTCGCAGATTGAATCTTCTTCCATGTACATAGCAGATTCGTCAGCGATGAAATCCTCTTCTTGCGCTTCGCTCTGGTCTGGCTCGGACTCTGAGAGGCAGCCTGCTCGTTGCAGCGCCTCCTCATAGTCCACAGCCTCGTAGGTCTCCTCCAACCAAGCTTGCATGTCCTCCGCTTCTGCAGCATCCATATCCTCAATAATCCAATCGCTGGCTCCCCCAGGACCCTTGGCAGACGTCCGTGCAAGTTGGAAGGACCTGGAAATGGCAGTTCAGCATCGGGACTGTCGGAATTGGAATCATCACTGCCGTGGGCAGCGTCATTACCGCTCCTTGTAGCTCTTTCCCGAGCCGGCGTTGGATCTTAACTTTGGGAGAAGAAGCGAAGGAGGTACGCCGTTTGCGAGCAGAGAAAAGGGTGTGCATGGAGGACAACACAACGGAGACTTGCATGTGATGGACGATGTTGTTATGCTGCATGGTTGAGGGGACGGCATGAACGCCATGGCAGCCGCGCTGCTTGCCAGCGCTACCGCCATGGTCCGCATAACAATCCCCGACGGCATGAGGAGGCTCAAAGCGAGAGTAGGTACAGGGTGGGAGGGGGAACTCACATATAGTAGAGGGGGTAGATGGCAGTCGAAATATGACTGAACGGGAGGGGTACTTGATGGGGATGATCTGGTTGATCCTCTAAATCTAGGGTAGGGTGGGGAGGTTGATGGGGTAGGTCTGAGGGGGATGAGGGGGATGAGCTGAGGATGAGGGGGATGAGGCTGGGGATGAGGGGGATGAGGCTGGGGATGAGGGGGATGAGGGGGATGAGGGGATCAAGGGGCGGAAAGATGCCCAAGGTGCTGGTATGCGGCGATGCACAAGGTGAGAAGATGATAGAGGAGAGGAAAGCAAATGGTAGGGGAGAGGAGAGGAGAAGAGAGTTGAAGAGGATCATCGGCGGCCAAGATGGCATGTAGCACCTTGGGAGAGCTCGTTGCGAGGTCTCATCTTGTTTGAGGTTGGTCAATTTGGTGTTTGTCGAGGAAGTGGATAGAGGAAATCACATAATTCGTGCGGATCGAAGAATGACTTGTGTTGTAACGGAGGTGAATCAAGTAGAAGGAAAAGGATTTCAGGCCATGAGGAGAAAGAGATTGAGAAAGGAGTTTCACTAAGAACGCTTGTCACTGAAAGCAAAATGCATGACGAGGTCAAAGTGAGTATGGAGCAAGGAGTTTATTACAGCAGTCATGTTCAGCCATTGATCACACAGATGCATCCTGGCGATATCCTCTTGCATGATCACTGATGCTCACGTTTCATGTGCTCATCAGGTAATCTGGATGAACTCTTCAATCGCGTGGTAAGAGATTCAAATTTGAATTTCATCGGGGATCCTTATGGGCGTGGTAGGCAACCGTGAACGCGAAGAATGGGCCATTCGACATGCTTGTAAGTCGAAAGTCTCACGTCGTCATGAACACGTTTGACTTAGCTCGCAGCTCTGTGCCGGGGAATTTTTCAGCAGGTTGCCAAGCACACTGTAGCAGTAAGCAAACATGACACGTGAGCAGCGCGGATGTTGGAGGAGAGGACGATGATCAGCCCAACTATGTCGACCAAGACCCTCTGAAGGTGAAGGCTGGCCTGCTAGTCCCGGCTGTGGCTCTAAGAAGGAGAAGGAATATGTCACAGGGGCCAAGAAGGCACCTTTACCTACCTACTTCATCTGCGGCAAGGGTATAGCCCACCTGCGGTGGGTGGAGGAGGTTGGTTGACGACGATGCAGAGTGGGGACCTAAACTTGACCAGACGTCGAGCTTCCAGGAGGTTGGTGATTCGACTTCTTGCCCTCCCCTCTCTTGCCTCTCTCCGAGCTCTACATCGACGTTGGAAGTGCGCACAGGACCTGATTGAGACGGCAGGTGGCCAAGAACATCTTCTTCCTAGGTTGCTAGTGTAGATTATCTCAACTCCATGTCGAGATGATTCATCCTTGTGATCCCGTCAGGAAATCACGGTATTCGCGAGCTCCACGGCCTGAGGGTCGGGTACCTGTGTGGCTCGTACTCGATGCAGGGTAAACTTTGCCCCCATCTAGGGTTGACATTGACGCTAGATGACTCTTTTGTCTGCAGCATCGGAGTCTCTGGAAACCATGCAGGTATGTCGACTCTGCTTGTGCATCGTTTAGGGAGTAACTGCCCTGTAAAGGCGAAATCGCTCGTCTCCCAACATGGTTTAACCAGCTATCCTGAGGTTGTCTGCCCTTAAGTGTTGAATCTTTCAGACCCTGAGAAACCCGTCGACGTCCTACTTTCAGTACAGGTAGGCTGACGAGCTTGCCCTGTTGTGTTGCTACCGTAACACGCTGTTGCCAGTGGCCGCTGGGAGTGAACAACAATCTCCAAGGTCAGGCGGCACCTGATGGAGGCAAAGGGAAGATGGGGACAAGTGTAGTCACCAGCGTTGCCAAGACCTTGAGGTGCTTGTTCCCTCCTCTCAACTCCCTCCCTCCCTCCCTCCCTACCTAAGTACCTACCTACCTACCTACCTACCTACCTTCTCTTATCCAAACCTCATTCCCTGAACGCGCTCCATCCTTTCCCCCCTTGCCTGCCTTCTTTCCCTCCCTGCCAGTATCAGTTGGCAGGAGGACCTGACCTGCCGCAGGCCGAGGTATCACTTTGCGGGATCAGAAGGCATCTTCTACGAGCGAGCTCCGTACGTGAACTCCTCCCCCAGTGATCGGGTGAGCTGTTGGCTGAACTTCTCCTCTGTCTGACTTGCCTCGCTCCTCCTGCTGGGCTCGTCCTGGTCTGCTTCTGCTGCTCGTGCTGTATTCGAAAGGAGGGAGCTGTGAAGCATATCACCAGATTTCTGGGCATCGCGCGTGTTGGGAATCCGGATAAGAAGGTAGGATTCGTCCTACTTCGCTTCCCAGCTACCTATCAATACCTCCCCCTCCCCATCTTTGGTCCCTTCAATTTTCCTCCGCCGCCCTCTAGCCCGATTCGATTTCTCTTTCCTATTTGTTCACTTGCAGTGTAACCCTTCTCATGTCGCTTGAGCTCTCATCATCTTTTTCCTCCCTTCTCCCCTTCTACAGCTAACTACCCATGATCCTCGTCCCTTCTCTTCTCCTATCTCTCCTCTAATCACGTGCTCATCAGCAACGCTGGCTGTATGCCGCAAACATCACGCCAGTGACGGGTGCTGAGCGCTAGGAGGCGTCGGCGGGCCCTGACGAGCATGGCAGAAATGACAATGGAAGCTCTCACTACAAGGCCTGCTAATACGACTGCCTCCCCCTACGGTGAGACGGCAACCCTGAGACAACCTCGCTGAAGCTGTCGCAAGAATCTGCTCCTGCCCCCACGTTTCAAGCGGGAGGAGACTTGCGGACCACCGGAGGGCGCGAGGGCGGGGGGGCAGCGCCGCAGGGAGCGTACAGCGAGACGATCTGCCACGTGGCCAACTTGCCGTACAAAGTGAACGAGGACACGTTGATGTTTGCTTTCGGTGGGAAAGGAAGGGGAGGAGGAGGAGGAGTGGGAGGGAGATGCAGGAGGAGGAGGTGGAGGAGGGAGAGGAGCGGGAGGGAGGAGGATGAGCGGGAGGGAGGAGGAGGAGGAGGAGGGAGGGGGCGAGGGGAACGGTTCTAGTCGAGGATTGACAAGCTCGGGCAGCTGGCTTCGGGGATATCTTGCGAGTTCACATCGCCCGGGACCGAGAGACGAAGCGAGCGAGGGGCTTCGGGTTTGTGGAATTTAAAGACAAGGAGGTGAATTGATAGAGAAGGAGGAGGAAGAGGAGGAGGAGATGGTGATGGTGGTGGTGGTGGTGGTGGTGGTGGTGGTGGTGGTGGTGGTGGTCATGTGACACGAAGGCGCAGGCTGCAAAGAAAGCTGTTGCAGCGTCAGGGTTTGATGTGAGGAG